AAGAAGATAAAAATCAGCCAGCTGGATTCCTACCTTTCTCTTTCAAATTCCAAATGTTTCTAAGATTTCAATATTAAAAAAAATGAAATTATAACAAAACTAGATGAAAATATCTTTTTATATTTCTATAACATGAATTGAGATCTCCTCAAAACTCAGAAGCTATGACTATAGGAAAATTGTATGAAATTATTCATTGGCTAAACTTCTGGCAGTGAAACTGCTGGTTCAGAGATGTTTCTGTATAAAATGTTAAAAAAAAAAATCTGTACAGCAAAAAATGCCAAAAAATATCATAATGAAAAAGACAAAAGATCAATCTAATATAAAAACAGATGAAATAAAGGATTTGCAGAAGAAGAAAATACAATGGCCAAGGATGTTCAAATTTCACATTAAAGTAATTCAAATGCAGAAATACTATTTTTAACCTAACATACTAGCAAAAAATGTTTAGTAACACTCAGTAATGACATGGAAAAAGAAACTGGCACTCATGCATTCTTTCTCACAATATACATATTTACTGTCTTTTGGAAGGGCAATTTGGCAATATATTTTAAAATTTTTAAATGAGTATGACGTGACCCATCATTTCATCATCAGAAATTTCTCTATGGACACGAACATAGAAGTCTGCAAAGATATTCATGGTAGCCACTGCCACAGATGTTTGCTTGTTGATAAGGAGCTAGTTAAATAAACGAATATGATACATCCATACCACAGAATACTCTGCAGCTGTCAAAACAATGATCTATATGTGCTAATAAGGAAAATCTCTGCATATTTGGCAATTATGACTTTTTGCTAGTAAGGTGTAGTGGCTACTTTTTAAATCAGAAAAACGTAAAGAAAACAAATGAAAAACCAAAACTGAAACCATAGATAAAAAATATGTACATACAGAAAAGAGTATGTTTTCTTCCCCATTTCTCTGTGTATTTGCATCTTTTACTTTAATCAAAGAGATGATGCTATATCTGTTAGTCTTCACTTTACCCTTTTCCTTTATTTTCTTCCATAACACAACTTCATTCATTAAAACTGTGTAAGATAAAAGATTTATTTTTTAAGACAAACTACTACAGTCTGTATAGTATAATCACAAAAATTAAATAAAGGTAGGCTACTTCATCTATAGAGATAATCTAGGAAAAACAAAGTGCACTAAAATCCCCACACTTGGGGATCCTTTTCAGACTTCTCGAAGTTTGACTCACATATACATTAAACATTTCCACCTTGACTATAGGCATCTCAAATTCAACATGTCCAAAAGTGACTCATTACCTTCCTCCTTTAATTTCCTTCTTACATGCTCATCTTAACTAAAATTACTGGCAATCATCTAAATTACTCACCAATGGGTTCCTATTTTACCAGGAGCCATCTGTTTATCTAAACTAGAAATCAGAGTGTCTCTCTAACACTCCTCACTCCCCTTACCCCATATCCAATTACCAAATCTGGCCATTTCCTAATTTTTTTTAATCCATCCTCTCATCTCTATTTCATCTCTATTTATTCATCTATTTATTCATCATCTCTATTTCAGACCCTCCTCTCTCCCCTAAGCAATTGCAATATTTAATCTGTCTCCCTCACTCAAGTGCTATCTCTCCTCAACTCATCCCCATTCTGCCACCAGAACGACCAATCTGAAATGAAAAGCTGACCAAGTCACTCCATGAATCCTCCATGGAGCCCTACTGCCTATAAGACAAAAACTAAGCATCTTTAATTAACATGATATATATAGATTCTCCTTCACCTAGACTCTGTCCAAATTTTCAGCCTCATATTTCGATACTCCATGCCTTATTACTTACTCTTCAGCAATCGTGAACTATCTATAGTTCACTAAATATCCCAATGTAGTGGGCTCCCCTATTCCTACTGTTTTCTCTATCTATACAACACTATCTTCCCTCCATAAAGCCATACAGCTTTAGTTGTAAACTAATCAGGTTGCCCGTTTCAGAATCTCTCCAACTTAACTTGTCTCTCCCTGCCTTCAATGTGCAAGGCAGTTCATATTACAGGTTCTAGATAGTTTATTCAGTTTTTTTGTTTGTTTGTTTCTCCTACCTTCTTACATGCGTCCCTATTTAACTAATATCAATTTATTTATTTATTTTTTCTTCAAGGAACACTTCTTATTTTCACACATTATACATTCCGGTATATATTTTCCCCTTGGCTGTTTGAATTAGTTGCAAAGTGAAAATTTAAGTACACATTAGATATACATTTAGATTTCAGATAAAATGCTATCTTCTCTTTTAGAGAACGTCTTTTTTTTTTCCTTTTCTTTCTTCCTTCAAGTAATGACCTTAATCCTAAAAAATTTTGAGCAAAAAAATTTTGTCATACTTTTCTTGCCATCTTGTTACAGTTTGTACACTAGTGTCTTTATTCCAATCTCAACAAATCTTCTAAAAGTAACATGGTTGTATTGGGAAGCTTAAAATTTTAAATGAATCTGAAATTAATTTCATCAAGTTTTCCCCTTTCCATTTAACGTTTGTTTACTGCTGCGATGTCACAAGAATTCCGATCAATAATTTCATCACAGAGACTCTATTTTAAATTACCATGGTTTACAAGGTTTATAAGCTGTAAGATGCAATTTTTATCTTAGCACAAATCAATATACAAATAGTAAATTGCATACGCCTAAATGACACAGTTTTGTATTTCTATGACTGGGTGAAAATTAAAATTAATCCATTGTACGTACTACTAACCTATGCCCCCCAAAATAGCATATTTAAGAAAAACCATATCAAGGGGCGCCTGGGTGGCTCAGTCATTAAGCGTCTGCCTTCGACTCAGGTCATGATCCCAGCATCCTGGGATTGAGCGCCAAATCGGGCTCCCTGCTCAGTGGGGAGCCTGCTTCTCCCTCTCACACTCCCCCTGCTTGTGTTCCCTCTCTCGCTCTCTGTCAAATAAAATCTTTAAAAAAAAAACAACAACAAACCATATCTATCCCTCAATGGGTATTAACCACAAAATATTTTTTAAATGAGGAAGCCTAAATAAAAAGATACAGAAAAACACAAATTACAGGCAAATTTAAGAGAGATATTTAATAGTTCTCCACGAATACTGAAAAACCATGCTCTTTTCCTATGAAGAATTTTAAATGAGTCATACTTTCCTTACTAAATCACTGTTTTACTTAACATATGGTGAAAAGAGTTAACTGTTTGGTAACTTGAAACTTTATATTCACTTAAGGTGCACATCAATATATACTAAGGCTAGTGGAAAATAAGTACATATAGTTTACTTTATACAATACTTAGAACACACAACATCATGTGCATAAGGTTCACTTGACATTTATCTGCTAAAGGTATGGAAAGCTGTCTAAATATCTCCTAAAAATTCAGGTTCCCACTGTCTAAACCTACACCAAAATTAAACAAGTTGAAATCATGCACAACGCTTTTTCCTGGCACCCAGGCCGACCTACCTATATTCTGTGCCTAACTTTTAGTAAATGAACATATTTCTGTCCCAATCACATTGGCCTAATTATTCACTTTAATGCGTTAAAGTTCTACCTTTATAACTTTCTAATTCATAATGAAATCAATTCATGGTTAGCATAATAGTTTCCAAACTGAAAAGCGTTAAAAACATATACTACAATATCTATAACGAACTTAGAGAACAAGATTATAAAGCCAATCAACTTTTCCAGAGCATGTGGTGCTTGTTTATTATTTTTAAAAATAAGAGAGTACGAGCTAGGGAAGAATAAATCCCCATTCCCAAATTACGTTCTTCTGTTAGAGTATACAATTTCTCCAAATTCAAAGCTGTATGGCCAACTTGTCAGCACCTACTACTCACATCACACTCGCGGGGGGGTGGGGGGGGAGAAAAAAACTCTTTTCCCCCTCTACGCAGCAAGTGAGTCAAACACACCTGGCTTGCTCATTCTGCCAGAGGCAGTGAAATTTAAAAAAATAAATCAGCCACAGACAAACCTGATGATCCAAGAAAGCCCCGAGGAAGTCCCCCGGCATTTGTGGTAGACGCCCACTCGCCCGGCACTCCGGCTGCCCCGCAGCCCGGCGGCTCTCGCGGAAGGTGCCCACACCTGAGCCCTGCGTCTCGCCTGACCCACAGGTCCGGGGGCGGGGGGGCCCGGCGGGCAGGACCTCTAAGTGGTCAGAACGCGACCCGCCGCAGCCCCGCGCCTCACGGCCGCCGCCCGCCCGCGCGAAAAGGAGGACAGAGGCTCGAGGAAGAGGTGAGGGGCACCCGGGGGCAGAAAGGAAGAACCCACCACGAAGAGTAGGCTACTCGTCAACAAACTAGCGGCCCGATGGGCAGACGGCCCCAATGGCAGTTCACAGAGGCGCCGGGAGCAGGAGTGCTCCACGCCTCCCTCAGGAGCCCGCAAGTCCCCGGTCCCCGCGGCGACCCCGAGACACCTGTTTGGCTGCGCCCAGGTTTGGTTCCACCCTCTACGCTCCCGCAAACACACACTCCGAGCGGTGAGGACAAGGGGAACAGAGACCTTGGACCCGCAGCCTGAGGGCGCCTCCGCCGGCCGTACCTGACATCAGCCGCGGCTCCCTCTCGCCCCTCCTGGGGGGCGGAGAGGGGGACGACTCGAGACCGGCAACCTTAGCTCCTCCCGGTATCCGCAGAAATGGCTCGCAGCCGCTGGTTGGGGCCGCCCGCTGCCGCCCAGATCATTCCCTGGCGGCGGCCGAGGCGGACCCAGCTCACCCTCCCTCCCCCCCGCCCGCTCGTTCGTTCGCTCGCTCCGCCCCTTCCCCCGCAGCGTGTCCAGGCCGCGGCCCGCCGACGGCGCAGCCGCCACCCAGGGGTCTCCTAGCGCTGACGTCTCCGCCGCCGCACCAGCCCCAGGGAAGGGCGGAGCGAGAGGGGGCAGGGTGGGGCGGGGCTATGGCGACGTGCGGACGTGGGGATTGGCCGCCAAGCTCACGCCCCGCCCTTCTGCGAAGCGGTCTGGGAAGTCGAGTGTTCTGTGAGCAATAGTCGCAGCCCACTTGCGGCTTCTCGCTGTTGGCCTTCTCCTTCCTGGTTCTGCTGTAGGGTTTTGCATTAGCTTCCGGACTTTGAAGAGAAACTAAAGCAGTGAAACTACAGGGACTGAGGCTAGAGGTACCTGAGGACCTTCGTGTGAGGGACAGGCTCTAACCCTGCAGAAGTCTTTTGGCCTCTAGCCTGCTTCCCGTTCTTTTTTCTCCTGACCCCCACTCCCCTACCCCTCCCCCCCCGGGTACTCTGTAGTCAGTATCTCTCTGGCCTAAATAAATACAGCAAGATGAGGTATGCAAACGGGTGCTGGGTAACCAGATACATGAACCCGAAAGGGTTGAAAACAGTGGTACCACAAAGCCTTCCGTATCACACGTGGTTTGGTCTGTCGTTACTTCGCTTCTGTCAGGCAATAACAGGAAGACCTTCCTTAAGGTTTTCCAAAAATCATCTTCCTTTTAGTTGGCTAAAGGACTTTGAATCAGAAAGTGTTTTTGGTTAGAGGGAGGAGCCTGTGAGCCACTGAGGCAACCCAACAGCAGTCAGGAGGTGGGGATAAGGTCTTGGCTTTAACATCATCTACAATGCCTTAGCTTGAGGGTGAGAAAACTATCCAGCTTCTTTTAAAAGCCCCTCTCTGTCAGTTCTTTAGTGCCTTTAAGCATAGCCCTTAGGAGTGTGGGCTCTGGGCTGGAATCTTGGTTCCTCCACCTATTTGCTGTGCAACCTTGGCAAGTTACTTAATGTGCCTGAGAGAAATAATGAACAATGATGTAAGTTATTATTGTTCTTTTTCCTTTGTTTAGATTCAGCTCTAGTGTAGTTTGCCATGATATGCCATTAATAGATCCAAGAGAATCTTCCAAAAGAATTTAAGCACATCTAATGATTCTTATTTAAACCTTTTATTTTTCAGTTGAGAAAACAGGTCAGAAAGATAAAATGATGGGCCCAAGCTAGAAGTGCAAGTATCCTGATGTTCAGGTTAGTGCTCTTTTCCTGGCCCATACCTCCAGACTTCTCTCCCTTACATCCTTACTTATATCCTCTTCTTTCTTTTCTAATTTGTGTATAGTTAATTGCCCAGCGTCATCCCCTTCCCTTCCACAACCACTGTAACAGGAAAAGGAGACCCTTGCAGAGGTCACAGTGTTCCAAATAGAAAGCAAAACAAACAAAAATGCAAGATCCCTTACCTCATTTTAATTTTATTGAAATTTTTAATGAATAAGGAATAACTTTGTTTTTTCCATTGAGCAAAGATAAGAAACCCTTCCAAAGATAAGTTCAGCCATAGCAGGTCTCAGAAAATTACTGGCAGGAAACACTATTGATACGAACAAAACCAGATCAAGTAAGTCCCTCCCATCATTTTGGGTATTTGAAAATAGCTTTTATTTTCATGAAAACAATACATAGTTATTCAAACAACAACAACAAAAATTTATCCAAATCCCATAATCTACAGGTAACCATTTTTTAAAGTGTATGTTATATTCTTCCAGATATAAAGAATAAAAGACACATAAAGACATATAAATACAATATTTCATAAACTGGATTTTATTATGGATATAGTTCTTTTCTCACTAAACAATATATCATGATTAACATCATTTTATTTTATTTTATTTTATTTTTTTTAGATTTATTTACTTATTCATGAGAGACAGAGAGAGAGAGAGAGAGAGAGAGAGAAGCAGGCTCCCAAGGAGCAGGAAGCCCGATGCGGGACTCGATCCCAGGACCCTGGGATCATGACCTGAGCCGAAGGCAGACACTTAACCATCTGAGCCACCCAGGCACCCTTAACATCATTTTTAAAAGATAAATGGATGTACTATCATTTGTCTAACCAATATTCTATTGCTATTTGGTTTTTTTCCAAATTTTTAATATAATAAACAACTCTGATAAACTTCCTTATGTGACATTAATGTCAGCCAATTCTTCAATGTTATCAACTAGAAAAAAGAAAGTTGTAGTTACTTTGAAAAATATACTTTATATATGGGACTCAATGACTAAATTCTCCCATTTGAAACACACATAAATCTTGGGCAGTACGTTTGTCTGTCTGGTGTGGTGTTTCAATAATGTGTGTCAAAGCTTGGTGGAGCAGAATAATGTGTGGTGAGGCTCCTTGGAACAGGTTGGTAGACACTGCTAGTTGTTTAAGCCCAAATCCTTTCTTCCTTACTAGCAGAACTCTGATTTTTTTCAGGGTGACAGTGTGTCTAGTTAAAAATATTTACTTCTCCAGATTTCTGTAAGCCATGGCTGGCTGTGTGACTGATCAATAAAATGAAAATGGATATTGTTAGGAGAGGCTCAAAGCTTTATGGAAGAAATGTCCTTTTAGCCATTGGACCTGTACCCATTTTTTTTTTTTCTTACCTGAACAATGATACAATGCTGGAGGTGGAGCAGCCATATTTCAACCATAATAACCAAAGCTCCACATAGTATTAACAGTGTAGGAAGCCAGAGGTGCCAGGCTTTGTGATTGCATTAGAGGGCTAGCTTTTTAGCTTTGGACCCACCCATTTCTGGATTTGTTGTTATGTAAGGGAAAATAAATACTTGCTATTTAAGGTTTTGTTATTTGGGTTTTCTCTTATAAGCAGTGAATGCAATTCCTAATGATAGAACAAGATAGGACAAGTCAGCATTTATTTAGCATTGTATGTAGAATTTTTTAATAGGGCAAAATAAAAATGGGGACACAAAATGGAAACAAATAAGCAACAACCACACACACACACACACACACACACACACACCACTCTCAATACACTTAGTTTCTCTTTAAATACCCAAATGTTACAGTGAGATTAACAAATCATTTTATAATAATTTGATTAAATTCTGTAAGTTAAATTATATTCACTGATACAGTGGTTTTAAAATATGTCCACAAGTTCTTTGATGCTTCTTCCTTCAAACGGTGGGACTTAATTCCTCTCACCTTGAGTTTGGACTGTGTTTAGTGACTTGTTCTCATGAATAGACTTGTGTGACTTCTTAGAGGAGATTATAAAACATATGCCAAAAAATAAAACCTACATGAGTTTTTTTCTTCTTCTCTCTCTGGGACTTCTTACTAGGGAAAGATGGTTGTCAAGTCATAAGGACTCTCAGGCAACTTTATAGAGAGGCCCACATTATGAGTAATTAAGGCTTCCCGCCAACAGTCAGTAAGGAGCCAAAGACTCTTGACAACAGCCATGTAAGTGAACTTGGAAGCAGCTGCTCCAGTCCTAGTCAAGCCTTCAGATGACTGCCTCCCTCATCAACATCTTTATTGACTTTAGGAGAGATCCTGAGCCAGAACCACTCCATTAAGGTGCTCCCAAATTCCTGGCCCACAGAAACTGTAAGATAATACATGTTTGTTGTTTCAAGCCATTAAATTTTGGGATAATTTGTCATGCAGCAAAGAAAACTAATACAGCTGGGTATAATAGAGCCTAGCACAATGGCTGGCACATATGTAGGTGTTTAATGATTTGTTGTTTGAATTAACAAACAATTCAGTGAAGTAGAATATATATTTTTTCACTTTAAAGGATAGCATACAAGGCTGGTATTATCTTTGCTCCCTGACACCTGTGTTATATAAGGGTTTTCTGATGTGATCATAGAGAAATCAATTGTGGATCTTACTGAAATCTAAACATTGACAATTCTGGAGGAAACATATAGTGAATAGAGCGGTGGAACCCTTGAGACCTGTATAGTGCTCCCGCTTTTATCACTGATTAGCTGAGTGGCCCATGGCAAGTCATCTAAACCTTCTAAATCTCAATTTTCATATCTGTAAATTGTGGAAAATAATCCCAACCTACCTCAAAAGGTGGTTAATCAGATTATATGTGACAGTGTAATTGAAAAGCATGGACGTTCTTTTAATTACATTAGGCTCATGAGATCCTATTGTATTTTTAAGCAATTAAGTATTAAATATTTTAGATGTGTATACTATGAAGAGTTTTCTTTCAAGAGGTGATGATAACTTATTACTGATTTTACTGTGTACCTTTGTAAAATATTAGCATCATTCATAGTGAGCAGTTAAGATTTAAGAGTATGGCAGGATGGTAGGTTATTATATGTCAGATCTCATTTTATTAGCCTGTTGAAAATTTATTGCACTTTAAAAAGAATACATAATTATAACTGCCTCCTTTTCCTTTCCATGAATTAATTTGTAATTGCGGTTGGGTGTGTGCCCCTCTTTGTGGTAATAGTGGTAGTTAAGCATACTTAGTAATAAATATACATTTAACCAATAAGTTGGTCTGAGTCTAAGAGTTTATCCTAAAGCAAAATTGCACCCAACAACAAGAAAATATGTAGTGGGTGAATTATCCAAATTCCCTGGTTTTATTGTATTGTTCTTTCTTGCTTTCTGGTATCCAGTATGACTCCACATCGATTTTAACTACTGGCTTAACTAAACATCAGGTTATTTGTAGTTGTAGATGACCCCCGCTACCTACCATCTTTACTAACTTGAATAGGAAGTAGAAGAATTCTAGAAAAAAGGACAGAGCTTTCTTTTCTGGTGATGGTGTGCTTTTCAAGCAGGGCTTCTCATTTCATATTGAAAATACCTGCCAAGATAAAGTACTTTCATCCTACAGAAACTAAAAGAGCATTTCCAAACAGTTTTTATTCCTTACACCTGCATCTTCACAAAATCTACCAAGATTTTGAAACAGTTGGAAAGGCTAATGTTATTTTCTAAGTTGATCGACATGTAAAGGGGATGAAGGTAGAGAACGGAGGAGAGGAGAAGATAAGGAAAAAAAAAAAAGAAAGTTTAGGAAATACTTTTAACCTCAAGGGAAGAGGACTCAGCATGACTCACAACATATTAGCTTGAAAGCAGAGACTGCCATGGTTGCACTGAGGAACTTGTGTCTTCTAGAGAAAGATTCTCAATTTATGAGATTGGGCTCTCTGGGATTACTTACCCTGACTTTCTCTAGTTTCCTAGAATATGAATCAAAATATTCCTTAATTGTTTTCCCTCGTGGTTCAACAAGAGCAGAAAGCATTTGTTTTAAATGGAATAGGTGAAGCTGGCTTTAGTTTAAAATCCCTAAGCAGTAAATTATAAATGTGTATGATACTTCTTTTATTGTAAAGAACTAACTGACTTACAAATCTTAGCTGCATATTGTGACATCTTTTTTTTCCTCATTCCTTTTAAGTTGTATTTAAATGTATGCTGTTTCCCTGGTTCTGAAGGGAGCAAACTGACCTTGTTCAGAGATTACTATGATGTCTGTTCTAATCTATCTGGGGCTGCTATAGATAATTGTGTCTCTCAAAATTCATATGTTCAGGCCTTAACCCCAGTGTAATTTTAGGGCTTATAAAGAGGTGATAAAAGTTAAATGAGGCCATAAGGATAAGACCCTCATATAGTAGAGCTAGTGCCCTTGTAAGAATAGACACCAAAGCTCATTCTCTCTATCATGTGAGGACACAGTGAGAAGGCAGCTGTCTGCAAACCAGGAATAATCCTCATCTGAAACTGAATTGGTGGGTGCCTTGATTTTGGCTGTTCTATTCTCCAAAACTGTGAGAAATTTCTTGTGTCTAAACCATCCAGGCTGTGATATTTTGATATGGCATCCCAAGCAGACTAATATGGGGCAGGCTCTGATGCAACATGTTCTGCCCTATTTTGCCTAATTCAGAACTCAGGTGAAAAAAGCTTTAAAATGCTGAAAACCGAATTAACAATCCTCAAACACCTGAGGCAGAGATTATGGCTGAAACATACAACAGACTGCCTAAGACAAAAGCTGGGTAGAGTTTCTTTGGGAAATTAAGACATTCAAAGGCAACTATGTAAATGGGGGAATTTAGAAAGCCATGTGCATGCTCAGGGCAAGACACATACTCAAACACTCAAGAAGACCCTATGCTTTCACCTTGGCCTCATCCCTTGGTACATTGAAAGCTGGCAA